ATCCTTTTTTGGGACAGGGTAGACACGGCCAGCTAGATGGCATCAACAGATGGGGATTTTCAAGCCTCACGCATTGTGATAGGAAATTGAAGTGCGAAAAAGTGAATTTTTAAATTTTTCAAGTAATGAATGTTAGATACCGGTCACACGCTGGCATGATGTATAGATGTATCTTGACTCTGGGGTAGGCGCTTCTAAGCTCCATCGGGTGAGCGCCGTTCATCTTCGGCAAGAGGTGAAGTGTCGTTGCGAGTTAAGCCACCCAATATTGAGGCATGTGCAACCAGCCACTGCTGGCATGCTCCCATGTTTCAAAGTTGCGAAGGAAGAAAAGTTTATGGTTCAATCATTCTATGGCTGATTCACTGCAGTTTGTGAGTCATCAGTTTGACAATGAAATGCTTCATCCAGAGGAGAGCAACAAGGCGTAGTAGGATTCGAAGGCCTTCTGGATTCATGCTAATTCCACTTTTTGCTCTATCCATATGCTAGTGCTTGGAAATCATTATCCTACAAATAGATGAGCTTCTCGGAGCTACTGAAATGATTGATAGTGTATTTTGCCAGGATCCGAACACAGCGATATATAGGGGAACCTTTTTCAAGTAAAATAAGGGAAGTGTTGGTGTAGAATTAAGCATTGGTGGTTAAGAAACATACGCAGAATTTGACCTTCATAAGCTAGAGCTAGCTAGCTAGTTAGTAGATTATGACGAAAGGGTTATCCGGAAAGGAAATTGGAAATCATACATAGCCCTTCATCATTGTGGGCCAAGGACGACCAGCTGTTTATGGCAAACATATATGCTCCATTATAAATGTTGGAGTCTCCAAGTCCTTTAAAACACGGTCACTCCTTGGTGTTGTATACGATGTAGGCAGTTTTTGAGCCCCTATTATGTCAGGTCGTTTTTTTTTTCTTGGCCAGAGCCCATGTGCTATACTTCGGGGCCAGAAATTCTTCCCTTTCCATCAGGTAATCTTAGTAGCCGATGCAATCGTGAACTGTGCCTTCGATTTTTTTCTGACTTTTATGTCCGAAAACGTTCACAGCTTTTTCGTTTCACGGGTGCCCTCGGATATTCCTTTGAGACTCAACGAAATAGTGATTTGACAAGAATCCTTGCATTTGTATAAATGAACCTGACGTGCTGTCATTCTGAATGGACGCCGGTGGAGCGCTATCTCAGTTCATTCACAAGAAGTGCAGCTGGAGACTGATCGATAAGAATAGGCTTCAGGGTTTAATATGAATTGATCCGTTTCAAACACTTCCACTGTATTAGCTGTGACGGTTTACCGCGGCCATTCCAAGAGTTTGGAAGAGTATTAAAGGGTTTATCAATATGATTGTTAATTTCTGTTTATATTTGGTTCATATTTGGCGCTTTTTTTTCTTGAAAAAGCATTCTTCGATTTTCGACTGCTTTGATACCCTTCTCTCTTTGCTTACATCTTTGAAATTGGGCTCAACCAGTGCTAAAAGAAAAAACATGTGGTCGCAATGTATGCCAAAAAAAAAACTCTACAGTTGATCGATAACCCGAACAAGTGGGTTTTTTAATATCGATTGAACAACAAATCGATCAAAAACATTGCAATCTGATAGTGGCGCCAGCATTCGAGAAACTGCTCAATACAAATACCCTCTGCATTACCTAACCAAAGTATCTGAGTTGCTATTATTCGATTCTGATTTCAGCGCCCGGAACACGCGTCATGTTCCTGCTGAAGGAGAAAGATGACACGCCGGCGTTATTCACAGAGATGGGCGAATTAGGCCTGAAGGAATGGAGGGAGACAGCACGTTGGGTGAAATTCGAAGAAGATGTCGAGCAGGGTGAGATTCTGATGAGTGACGCATTTCATATGTCGAATATCAATAATCTTTAGGAGGCAATCGTTGGTCGAAGCCGCATGTGGCGACGTTGTCACTGCATTCATTGTTTCAATTGAGAAGTTGTCTCCTGAATGGCCTTTTCATGAACGACATGACTGAAACGGATTTGCCAGCAATTATTGGTTAGTTTAGAGAAGTTCAGGAGTAGGTTACCTGGAAATATGCTTTTTCGTCATTTTTTTTTGTGTCCAAATCTGTATGTGCATTGAATGTTTACAAACTCCAAGATTACTACTTTACTTAAAATGATGCCATAAGTCCATTTCCACACCTGGCTGTGCACCGGTAAAGGTTGGGAAGTCGTTGCAGTTTGAGATATTTGCTGAGTGACTCAGGTCATTTGCGGGCTCGCAGAACTGAGCCGCTGGCTGATCTTTGATAAAGTCATCAATCTTATTTGAGAAATGGACTTATGTGTTTGTCCTTCAGCTTGAGTTCCGTGACGATGAGAGAGTAGCGTGTTCAGTATACTGAGGCCCACTATTCCTTCAGGCTGAGCAAAAGAAGGAAGGGCTCAAAAGGGGAACAAGGGAGCAATTTTCGAGGAGGTAGTGCATTTGATCAGTTCTACCCTTTGCCTGTCCCCTAAAAGGAATAAGGTGGATCTTAGGAGTTCTCTCCCTAAGGTGTCTGTGAGAAATCTTCACTTCGCTGGGAACCAAACATTTAATAGGTGAATCACCGTAATCCTTTTGTTTGCACCGACGAATAGGTGCGAAGATGTGCGTCGTTGCAAGATCGTGGCAAGAAATCAGATGTGATGAAAAATTTCACGATATAATAGCTATTTTGATGACATGGCGTGCTCGATTTTTTGCAAAATGCGCCCGCAGCGAATTCGCTTTAGCGGGAGGTGGTGAAAAGGATCAAGAGTGGCTCAAGTCCAGGGGACAATCGGAAGCGGAGGAATGGTGAAGGGCGTTTATACATAGAGGAAAATCTGAGTACTGAGTCGACTAGAAGCGACTTGGGCGGACTCTTTTGGATGAGTTCATAGGAAAGCAAGTTTATTTATTTATTCGTCTTAGTGACCTGCAGGACACCACGGGGGATTGTTAGGAAAAGAACAGTTCGAAAAAACGAAAATTAGCAGAAGAATTAAAAGGAAATTGGGAGCAGAAAAAGCACAAAGAAGACACTCATGTAGTAATATATTCGGACGAGATTTTAGATCGCTTCATGAAACCCACCAACAGCTTGCGATGGGAAACCGAGTTCTCTGAGAACTTGATTACGTTTTGGCGTTTTGGCTGTTTGGGATATAGGAATTAGGTAGCTCCCAACTCGGCACCATTTCTTGGAAAGGGGGCGAAGTTCCACTCCCGACACATACCTTTTTTGTTGAGGAACAAATTTTCCGTGATAAGGGTTGCGTTCCCTTAACAGTGTTGCAGTTTTGAATGGCGTTGTGCAGGTGTTCGCAATCGATTAAAAGCATGGCTTCCTTCTTTTTCCCTGTACTAGCTCCACAGCCCAACGGCGCTGTGACGACGACAGGAAGCGTTCTCCTCACCTACAGCGTCACAAAGGAGCGCTCTATACACTGACGAGGGATTTGTGAAGACTGTCATAAGAAAGATCACATTGAGCGATGAACAATCCTAGAAAGCATACATCCAAATCATGTACATGAGTCTACCTGGCATGCGTACACATCTCGCTTAATGAATCTCTCTTTGCGGTATGAACTGTCTGCAGATGGTAGTTACTTAATGTTCCGCTTCCACTGATGGAGACGATGTCAAACCGCGGTCTCAGTACCATGTCGACGCTCTGATTTAAAAGTCGGTTTTTCGACTCCAATGTCAATCCGTTTACTCATTTTCTCGAAACGAATTCATCAGTTCGTCAGCACACAGGTATGTTACGTGGAATTAGTCGCTTGGCACCCCAAAACGCCTTAGTTCCCAGAAGAAAGGTTTTTGCACCCAAGAGTCACAAGAGATCTGACGTAATCGCAGCTTGCCGCTTGATAAGAACGCGTCGCTTCACAAAGAGATAGTTATGCTAATCAAGCTCTAGTAAAAAGAGTTTTCGATTCTGCTCCTCACTGACATCCTTGGGCTAGGGTAGAGCGACGATGCATGAAGCATTTCCCTAAAAGTGGGTCTCTCAGGTCTCGCAAATTCCGAGACTCCTTCCTCCTACAACTCCCTTTCTCCCCAAGATTCGGAATGTGCATATCTGTTGATTAACAAAAGGAAGAACTTGAAAAAGGTTTCTGTAAGTCAACTAAAGAACTTCTCGGTCAAATCGTGCAGCGCAGGCTCCGAAACTATCGTGGGGTGTCGAGCTTTGTATGTTTATTTTGCTTTATTGTCAATTGCTGGTCTGATACACCGATTCAACCTGAGTCGTGAATACTAAAAACCGCGTTTTTTGCGTTCGTCGCGGAGCTCTTCATGTCAACAAGGCCTTCCTTTGAGAATAAGGCCGAATTCAAGATCATGTCGGGTAGAGAAAGATGCTTGGACAACACCGAACATAAGGCGAATAGATCCTGTGCACGCTAAGCGGTTAAGGAAGCTTTTTGAAAACGTTGTCCTATGATTCTCCTGTTAGATCGCCTATGAGTCCCACGATTTATTGGACATACCTACAGTTGTGAATCCTGGTTCAGACCCATTTCGGAAACAAAGGTATCTTTTGAAATGTATTCGACGTTTACTAATGCAAGCAGCGATCTAGCAGATATTCCGCTGCGGAAATGGGCTTCTAACTTGAATGTTTACTGGGGCGTCGGCCGCCCATCGATGTCGTTGGGCGCTTTGAAGCGCATTCGAATGACGTTTCGGGCTTGCCGTGTTATGGATTTTACGGAAACGGGCTTCCTTGCGAACTCCTCCATCGCACGGCTCTCTCAATCTCTCATCTCCCACAAACGATGACGTAACGGCTCTGACACGCAGAGGAGTTTCGCTGCTCGAAATGGATCGGGGAGGTGCTTTCCTGGCAAAACACAATAGGAGTAAGGTCCGGTCTGCATTTCATTCGTAGATTTATGGAAATGACCATTCATATCGGCTATAAAAAATGTGTGCTGTTTTTGAAGTACCGATTGGCGATGTGGTTGTGTCTCGCGATTGTGACCCAAGATGGTTCACCTGTGGTTCTACAAGCACTCTAAAGGAGGGAAGGAGAGCAACTGGTCTAATTAGATGTGATTTTATGTGGTCCACCGTGTTACGGTTAAGCAACCCTGCACAGCCTTAGCGAATGGTAAATCTCTCTCTCACTAGGGAAGTCCATGTCGGTGCACCTATTTGTAACGGAATATCCTCAAAAACGCGTTTTCAAATGTTTGGCTCAACTCTACTTTTCAAATTTGCAAAACGATTTTCTGTGCGTCACAGGACACCATCGAAAATATGAGGAGGAGGTGGTAGTCGTCTGTGACTCTTGTTTGAGATTAGTAGATTAAACTCTGTGCCGCAGTTACCTTTTGCTTTTTTGGAACTTCTCAGTTGATGGGGAACTCGTACACTCAGTCAAGTTACCTGCAGCTTGCTTTTTAACAAAATTAAAGCTGATTGCCTTTTCTCTTTCAATATTGAATTTCTTGCTTATGACTTGTTACCCAAGAGCGCCACAGACATTTTATCATGACCACATCAGCGACTAAGCGTATCACAGGTCCTACGCGAAAACTTTGCGAAAAGGACTGAATTGTAGGTACTGGCCACCATGAAAATTATTCCCGTAGTATGATCCTTGGATAAATCGTTAGCCTCCAAGTATATGTGGTGGTGTCAGTTCGAAGAACGGCTTCGTTAGGATGAAGCGAAGTCTCAAAATTGAGTTGTTGTAGTGCGAGGTACTGAAGCGAAATGCGAATGGGCCCAGAGGAGTAAGTCAGCCTCTCGTTGGACAGGCCAGCTCAGAAATTGATTAATGCTTGTACCTCTAGGGGTGTTAGAAAAGAGGGTGTCACATTGAGTTCAATAACACGAATTACATTTCTGGCCTGGCTTATCACGCCCCATTACGTGAACAAGGTGGTCGATTATTTCCGGGAAAAGCCATGTTTTGTGTAGAACAGCAATTCAACGAATGTTCCTGACACACCGCTAATGTAGGATTCTCGCGCGGTTTTAATGGAAATGCTGGACCAACAGAACAACTGATCAGAGGGATGTTCGGAACAGCTTTGAAAAACTCTGAAATCTTGTCCGGCTTCTAACGAACCAACCAAAAAAAGGGTCGACAAAATCAGACAAAATGGCATCGTTATTTTAGAATTAGATTTTAGGATATACTCCCGCTCGACAATCTTAGACTAAATACACAGTACATTGTGAGGATTTCGTTGTTCACCTCCGCAGTGTACATGGTTTTTCTGCAGCATCATCCGAAGCATTGCTCTATGACGTCCTCTGGCGACTTATGATTTCGTTTTCGGTGTTTCGGCGCAATCAGTACTTGGATGGCTTCACTCTTTGGAAAAGCGTTATCTAGTGGTTTCTGCAATTTGGGCTGATTACCTTTTTACCGTTGGTCTCTACTCCACCGTTTTTTAATCTCTAATCTCCATAGCGACCGCTTGCGATTCACATGTCTGTCATGTGGGAGGGCGAGCTGAGAACTCCTCATCTCACCAATTTGTGCAACAACTGCGTCGTCCCACGCAACAATCACCTTAGTTGAACGATGTCGTCAGTGGTTCAATCATCAGACGAGTTCATTTACATCTCTTACATTGGTGGAACTTGAACATCGGTCATCGGGGTCGCAATTTGAGACGAAAGGTGAACAACCAGAATATTTCCCATAAAATGAAATCAGGTTCTTGTAGAGTTCAACGAAATTATTGACAAATGTACACTCACACGAAAAATGCCGCTGATACGTCGTCATCAATATCAAGAAGAATGAATCTCTTCCTCTTTTTTTGCGAACTCTGAGGACAAGTATTATACATTGCCACCAAGATCGGGTAGTTCGTTCATAATTACGTCCATCGAGTGAATAAGTTGCTAGGAACGACTAAAGCGTTATCGTGGTAGAAGAATTTCTCGGTTCAAGAGGAAGGTAGGTTAATGAAATGAAAGTTCAGTGCAAAAATGTGGGTAGCAGGTAAAGAAGTCTTCCGATAAATGAACGGATGTGTGGGAAGACTCCAAAAAAAGCGCCTATTGTTCAATGATAACTCTCAAGGACTTGGTACCTGATCAAAATATCCAAAGCTTTTCATATTTTTGGCATCATAATTCGATGTTCTATCAAAAAGAGGTTAGCCTAACAGAGGTTGCTGCAAGGTTTACGACAGCCACATCAAGGATCAGAGCTTCACAAGGATAATGGTCAAAATTAACCACATTCAGCCTGATTCTACAAAACTTCTAAACTACAAAAAAATGCAATAGACTTCCCACCCAGACTCCTTGAGATGATATTCTCCTGATCTCAGGCGATTTTGTGGCGGTATATTGTCGTAAAGGTTTAAACAAGGTGCATCAGAACTAGTCATTCGAAAGCTAATGGGTACAGTAGGGCTGTGCGTGATGAGTACAGTACATGGTAACTGACAATTGTCACAAACCTATATAACAGTGGTTTTCTGGAAGGATCTATAAAAACGAGATGAACCAAATTTGCTTGAAGTACCGACGTTTTTCCCCCTCCTAAAAGCTTTGCAAAAGGAAACGATATCGATGAGAGTAAAAGATGATTACATGAAAACAACAAGGAACTACTGACGTTTGTGTGATACTTTTTTTAGATGTGTTGATTGAGGAGTTCGTGAAGGAAGGCGATATCGAAGAAGACATGAGGGACGAGCTTCGGGAAATTCTTATGCGAAAACACGTCCACCAATATGAGCAAGTCAGTGGTTTTGGAGAAAAACCAACATGATCAGATCACACTATGCAGTTAAGGGCGAAGTCACTCTCTGTGAAGTGTTTAGGAGTTGAAGGGAATGGGATCAAAGTCCATAGCAAGTTACACTGAGTGGGATTTTAGCGAAGAACAAGTTGATGCAGTTAGCTAGCTAAAAAAATGATACTATGTATTACCGATGGTAGTGTTGTAGGCAAAGAAGAATGGTGCTAACGGTGATAAAAGTGGTTTCCTCAGTACGGTCCGCTCTATATCCGACATAGGAAAATCGTTCTCTCACGGACGCAACTTGGGAAAGCTGGAAAAGGAACAATTTGGGCCGCAGTTGGAACTGCCGAAGGTCAGTTTCTGGCATATATGGCAAGTAGCATCAGCTTCAATAAAGTATTGTGATATGGGAATGTTATTCAGTAGTTGTACTCCAGGTGGAATCGTTGCCACGAGACATGAACAAGGACGGCTCATCAGGCGATATCAGCAAAGGCAACACGCATTTCCTCAAAAAACTCCCACATGGTGTTGAAGCGAGCAACGTTCTGATTGGAGAGGTAGTTTCTTCGTTATAGGCATCTTTGGGCTCATTACGAGCAAAGAGGAGGCAGAGTACAGAAGTTTCTCTTTTTAAGGCTTTGGAGTAATCATAGCCCATTAATAAACCGTCCGGGGAACGTGTGCATTTTGACCAATCGGTTGATCCAAGCCAATTCGGTTTTAAGGCAGTTCGGTTTTTGCTTGATGAAATTGAAACCTAGCCAACCTAGGTCCCAGAATTGCTCTATGCCTTCATTTTTCTCCTACGAACCCTGATTAGGTGAATTGGATCTCCCTTTTCTAGACTAACTCCTAACTATCGTCTTCCAGGTGGATTTCCTTCAACGCCATATTTGCGCATTTGTGCGCCTGAAGACGGCTAACGTTCTTGGCGATCTCACCGAGGTAATTTTTCAGGCACTACCTTCAGCTCAGAAGTTGTGACCACCCGAAAACTCCTAATTTTATTCTCGTTGAGGTGCCCGTTCCCACAAGGTTTATCTTCTTGATGCTTGGCCCAACCGGTCACGGATCTCAGTATAAAGAGATCGGCCGTGCAATAGCGACATTGATGGCTGATGAAGTTCGTTAACTCTCCTCGTCTGGGAAGGCTTGAACATTGCTCGGTTTATTTCTTCTTCAGATTTTCCATGATGTCGCTTATAAAGCCCGCAACAAGGAGGATTTACTGGACGGTGTGGACGAGTTTTTGGATCAGGTAATGAATAAGCTATTAAGGTTGCAAAGTTACATTGAGCTCAAACAATCTGTTCTCCGCTAATTTATCCAACGCGTGTGGCCAATAGCAGCCACGATTGATTTGTTTCCTTCGTGGACCTTCACTTTCACGGGTGTTTGTAATTGCCCAATTCGTGTTAGGAACCCATTTCGTCCTTTCTTTAGGTCTTTCCCTCTCTACGCAAAAGTCGCAAATTTCAGTTTATATCAACCATGATCATGAAGCTAAACTTTTTTCCGAACATCTTCTGCAGCACAACTCCATCATCTTGGAATTTTTTTTTACTAACCACTTTCGATTTTCGTAACCTCAATCGTTGAAAGGAAATCATGAGTGCTTAGTAGCCTTCAGCCAGTATTCATAGCAATGAGTTTACGCTTCACTGAATTCAGTATCCTTTTTATTCCATTTTTGGTTAATAAAAAATAATCTGGACAAATTGGCGGTCATTTGTTTTTTTTTTCAATACCAAGCCGTGCGAAGCACATCTTCTGAGCGTAAACATAGAAGAATATCTGCTCTAAAAGATCTCAAAACTTCAGGTAAAACTGAATCTCGTCACCCATACAATATATACATACCATGCATACATACCGTACATACAAGCACATGTACATAAACACGCACACAAACGCAACATATGTACACAGCATGTATACACTTATTCACATATTCGTATGCACAAACAGCATGCAAATACTACAAATGCATACCACATATTCATACCACATGCAGACATACACGTCAACATATGTTGTACACACATACATATATCTACATGCTATCTACTTGTACACACGTACACACGCATACACAGAGGCACCTTCTATACAAGTTCAAGATATAA